GATAAAAATCACAAGAGTTAGAATTGCAAATACGCTACCTGGCAAGCATGTGTCATAGTAAAAGCAGAGGAATCTAAAATAACGGCAGTTTTTGCTTCTTTTACTTTTACGTTTCTCTCATTGAACTTGGAGGATGAAGTGGTTTCAAATAATACACAGTAGGCCTCTTCCTAACAGCTATATTTAAACTAATGAATGATACCCAATCAGTTTGGCCCACAACCTGGTAGCCATCTTATCCCCGAGGTGTATTTCGAGAGCTATCTGGAGTTATGGAAGCAGCCACTCGCCTGTTGTTAAGCTTCTCTCTGCAACAAGCAAAAACAAGATTTCTAGAACCACATCACTGGTTAAGTATTTTTTCCACCCCAATAAATATAGCAAATATTTCGAAGAAAAAGGAAACAGCTGGAGCCGTTCTTATCAAACACAGGAGGCGTCTCAAGAATGTCCATTATATAAGGCCCTTTTTTGTTGTCTCTGAGAAGTAAAGAAAGTGCTCAGTAATTCCAATCCCTGCAGCCACGCTGATGATCCATCATGAAATATTTGTATTAAACTACAAGTGAGATTGAGGCTCCATTGTGCTAGGCACTGTACGAACACATTGTAAGAGAGAGTCCCTGCCCTGCAGAATCTGTCTGCCTTTTCTATTTAGATCGTGAAAGGTAGGAGGGAAATAGGCACAGAGACGGAAATCAACTTGCCCAAGGTCACCCCCATTATCAGTGGCAGAGCCAAGGGCAGAGCCCAGGTCTCAGATGCCAGTCAACTGTTGTATCACATTACTAGGTCTTAATGTCAGGTGTGCTGAACACCCACCAGCACTGACACACATTGGTGTTACGGGTGCTTAACACCCCTCAGAATCAGGTCCTTAGACATCACCACCAGATAACCGCAAATCTGAAACACAGCCCACCTGTGAGGTTAGCATTTTTATACTACCTCATGTCCAAGTGAGTAAACTTAAGCATAAATGTCTCACCAAGGTCATGCAGCAAGTCACAGTGGAATCAAGACTAGAACTCGGGTCTTTTCTCCAAGCTGCATGCTCTTACAGTTAGCATACTGGACTGGGAAGGAGGAGATCCTGATTCAATTCCCAGCTCTGCAACAGACCTCCTGCGGACGTTGCATAAATCACTTAACCTCTCTTTGCCCAAGTTCCTCATCTGTAAAATGAAGGTAGGACTTTCCTGCCTCACAGGTGTGCTGTGGGGGTAAATGTTGGGAAGGCATTCAGACTAGAATGACCAGAACTAGAGAAGAGCCAGTTAACAAATAACATTGCTGTATACTATAACAGTAATACCCAGCTCTTGTACTTTTCATCAGTTGACTAGAACGCAGATCTCCCGAGCCCCAGTGCTCTTGCCACTAGGAAACACTGCCTCACATTATCGCACTCATGCAGCTGTGTCACTTCAATGGTACGTGACTCTATTTGGTCTCAGTACTGATTCAAAGATGCTCGTTGTTGAAGGCCGGAGCAAAGGCTTTTAGATGTGACTCATGATTTTGGGTGCCTCCATTTTTGGGTCCCCAACTTGAGACACTTCAAAAGGACCCAATTTTCATGAAGTACCGAGCTCCTTCTAAAAGCCAGGCCCCTCTTAAAGTTCTCTCTAGTCAGGCATCCATATTTTGAAGCAACCAGAATCACTAGTCCCTTTTGAAACCTTGGCCTGGCTGTCTGCATTCTCAGAGACTCAAACTGCAAGCATGAAACTACCAGATGGCAAAATTAAAAGACTATATTAAGGGTGCACTCAGGCAATATGCAAAGCTACATACATCAAAACTATTATTAACTTCAAAAAATACAGGTTAGAGGAGTTCTGCCGTTTTGATAATGACTACAGAAGTAGCATCCAAAAGCTCATGTAATCCTTTAATAAAAGGCTCAGCGGGCTGTAAACATCCTGCCGGAATCGAAGATTATTATTGAAAATAAAATGAATGGTTTGCAAAGCAACTATCAATCCAGCATAGTAACAATTTATAAGCACCACTCCTCTGCCCGCAACAAAATAACGTGTAGCCGAGGCTCTCAGAGGTTATTTAAAAACGTCCAACAGGGACTGAAAGCTGCTCTGGGGAACCTGATGTGTCCTCCTGCAAGTCTACAACCAAATCATCAATGATCACACAACTGAATTCCCAGATTTTGTTGGCAGACTATCAGGGCTTTAGTGCCAGTCAACAGGGCCGCCCAGAGGATTCAGGGGGCCTGGGGGCACTTCAGCGGTGGGTCCCGGGGCGGAAGGACCCCCCCACCACCGAATTGCTGCCGAAGACCTGGAGCGGAAGAAGCTCCGGGGGCCCGGGTCCCACGAGAGTTTTCCGGGGCCCCCGGAGCGAGTGAAGGACCCCGCTCCAGGGGCCCCGAAAAACTCTCATGGGGGCCCCTGCGGGGCCCGGGGCAAATTGCCCCACTTGTCCCCCCCTCTGGGCAGCCGTGCCAGTCAATAGCTGGAGGCCTGAGACTCCGTGGCAATGGAAGTCCACTTTTTCCCCATCTCAAAGATCAGCTCACCCTACGAGGCCAATATAAAACAGCTCAAACAGTTTCTAGGATGTTGCCCAGAGCATTGCTAAGGGTATTGCAGAATGCAACCTGTTGGAGCAATTGGTTTACAAGTAAAGAATAACAATGGTGCAAGAATTCCCAATGAATTATGGTAGTCACTGCATGCACTAGCATTCAAAGGCCATCATATGGTGATGGATTAATAGCAACAAGTTCTTCCCAACGTATTTTGGACTAATTAAAAAAAAATGCAAAAGGGGCAGCTCTCTGAAGCTCTAGGCACTCCTGACACAAGTTATTTATAGCAACAAAAAAATGAAATGGTCTTTCTGCCCTGACCAGAATGCAGCCCCCCCATGCATCACAAAACTCTCTTCCCTTGCACAGATCTTATCCCTTCACAGCTGTCCGAACAAAGAAACGCACCATGCAGCCTACCCTGCATACCAAAAGACCAGAAATATTTTCTTGAGCAGGAGGGAGCTGGTTCCAAAGTGGAGGGTCCCCCAGAGAGAATGAACTATCAAACCCCTCCCTAGAAAATCAAGGTTGGATCCAGCTCAAATGCCTCTGCTGATTGCAGATTCTGCAGTGTGACATGGCGAGAGATGCCATCTATTGGATAGGAAGATCCCAAGTCATTTAGGACTTAACCAAAAGGAATAGAATGAGGTGGGGTTTAGGCACAGTATTTAATTTCAGAGCAAGAGAGATAAGGAGAGAAAAGATGACTCGTGAAACACATTCTGCTTTGCCTACCTCACCTGCTGCTTTTAAGAGCAAATTCAAGAGTAACTTGTTTAAAGTGTCTGAAAGAGTTTTCAGCAAGATGGCACCTAAAGTCTCCCAAATGGATCTCTTGTACCAATCAAGAATCATGGTCAGAAGACCTTTGTTTAATGCTCATGGATAACAAGGGAACATTATGCTGGCTTAATAAGGGGACAGAAAGCTGTAGATCCTTTAGAGCAGGGTCACCCAAACTTTGCAGCGGACAGTAACTTTCTGGAAGCTAGAGAGTCCTAAAGTTTGCATGACTTAAGTGGCCCATTGGGTTTTCAAGTGATACTGCTTCGGTTCTATTTCAGTGGCAGGTTTGGAAGAATTAAAACTGGAATATCCCAAAGAACACTGCATAAACTTGCCATTGCATAACCTCGTCACATTACTTCTGACTTGGGAGCCTCCTGCAAAACAATGCATTTTGGGAAGGGTCTTGCCTTCTTTTGTAGGCCACTTCTTAAGAGGACAATCAACTTGAAACCTAATCAATTAAGAAAAAAAAGTTAAAAGTCTTTCCAAGTATTGCACCTGCCCCTGAATCCTGCTAACATCTTTTGTGGTTTTACAACCACTTTGCCCTAATTTAAATTTAACCTGCCTCCTCCTGCATTGCTGTGTGATTGATCCATGCAGACAAAAAGGGGAACAAAATGACTATGTGCAAAGCAAAGCAAAGAAAACGGGGGAAAGAGAGAAAAATATTCTCTCTGATCAGAGTTTTCATAATCTTAAATGTTACTGTAACAGTTGCAGGTAAAAATAATTTCAGACAGAGGTATGATTATTAAATTGACAGGGGTCCTTTAGAGACAAAGACGGCACTGCAGACTCAGCAAGCTGCTGTTTGAGTGGTTGGAGTCATCGCAACTTTGGACTTGAAATGATCTGTTCAGAAAGTCTCAGGGATCCAACTGCTCTACAACAGCTTTCTCTGGTTTCCCACACGGCCCCAATCCTGAAACAGAATCCTTGTGGACACAGAAGCCCTTTCGTATAGAGCCCAGTTTAAGTCAGTGGGACACCATGCTAGCATACAGGCCTGTCTGCAAAGATCCAGTTGCAAGATTGAGGCTAAATTTGTTCCTTTCTTGAAAATATCCCCTTCTAACATTCTGGTAGTTTCAGGGCTTCTTCAGTGGTCCTATGTCACTTCACAGGATGTTTCTGCAACATCCAAAAAGGACCTGGCTCAGGGAACTTTTTTAAAAGAAAATCAAATAGACATTCTGGTGTTACACACAGGACTTCTGTTATTCCTAAAGCTCTGTTATCAGCTATTGTCATAATTTAATGACTCCACATGAACTCTCTGTATCTCACACACACACCCCTTTTACCACTGAAATTTCTGTTAAATGGAAAGCTGATTTTATGATGTATGAAATATTATATCATCACGTATCCAAGCACCACATTCTTCCCTGAGATACACACATGCAACTTTTAATGATTTAGTTACTAACTTTTATTGAAGAAACAAAGCTGTCAACAGTAAAACTTTTTTTTTTTTTTAAATATATGCATTATAAATACAAAAGGAAATACTAGTCTGATTTCAATAAATGTACCTAAAGGCAAAAGTTAGCTTCACATTTGATTGTGACTCTTGCTGCAGTTTTTCAAAATAGACTTAAAAAAGAGAAGGAATTCAAACTATGCAGTGTTGACTTGTGCTGGCACTCACCTTGCCAAACTGTTCGAAGTATTGCTTTACATCTTCCACTACTGTATTAGCAGATAATCCACCTACAAATATTTTCTTTGTTCTTGTGACCATCTGTAAGAAATTACAAAACAAGCACACAGTTAACCAGATTATTCAAAACATTATGTGAAAAAAAAGAAATATTTTTCAAATGCCATCCCTAACCAAGTTAATGAGAATATTTCTTCACGAAAGCAATTGAGAATCTATTCAATTATATTTGGTATTTCTTGTTTTGTTTTGTTTGAGGGGAGGCTGGGTATAGGCATTCGATAATAATGTCCTAGTCCCCTCAGATATTTTTTTTTAATAAATGTTTTTATTGTGGTTCTCAATGCAAACATAACTGAAAAAAGTTACAGTATAGGATCAGATTTCCTGTGCCTACTAGCTGTAGTTTCAAAAGGACACAAGCAGGTGATCAGCGATTATATTGCACGTAAGGGATTCATAGATGCCAAGGCCAGAAAGGACCACTGTGATTCTCTAGTGAGTCTGACCTCCTGTTATAACACAAGCCATAGGATTTCCCCTGAATTAATTCCTGTTTGAACTAGAGCATATCTGGATTTAAAAATTGCCAGGGATGGAGAAGCCTTTACAGCCCTTGGCCAGTTGTTCCAATGGTTAATTACCCTCACTGCTAGGGTTGCCAGTTTTCTAATTGCAACAAAACCAAACACCCTGGCCCCGCCCTTTCTCTGAGGTCCTGCTCCCCACTCACTCCATCCCCCATCCCTCCGTCGCTCGCTCTCTCCCCACGCTCACTCCCTTTCACGGGGCTGGGGCAGGGGGTGAGGGCAGGCAGCTCCCAGAAGCGGCTGGCATGTCCAGCTCCTAGGCGGAGGGGCCAGCGGGAGCTGCGGAGCCAGCGTTCGGAGCGGGGACAGCAGCAGCACGCGGAGCCTCGGGGCCGCCCCTACGCCTAGGAGCCGTACATGCCAGAAGCTTCCGGGAGCCGTGTGGAGCCAGGGCACACAGGTGAGCCTGCCTTAGATCTGCTGCTGCACCGCCGACTGGACTTTTAGCAGCCAGGGTCAGTGGTCCCTTTTCAACCAGGCTTTCCGGACACCTGCCAACTCTACTCACCATTAAAACTGTGTTATTACTGTCCATGGATCAGATTAAAAGGAAACTGCCCACTTTATTTAGATTTTAGAATAACTAAAGAGACGCCTAGCCACCCATTAACAATGCCATTTAAATCACAGCAGCATTAAAATAATCAATTCAGCAGGAGCTCAGGCAGCCACCTACAGAAATTTCTTTTCGCCTCTTCATAGTCTAGGAAGCATGCCCTCAGCCCTCTCCAAAAGCTCTGCAGAACAGTGGTTCTCAACCAGGGGCCGGGGCCTCCTGGGGGGCCGCGAGCAGGCTTCAGGGGGGCTGCCAAGCCAGACAAGCATTAGCCTCACTGGTGCCCAGGGCAGAAAGCTGAAGCCCCGCCACATGGGGTTGAAGCCCGGGGCCCTGAGCCCTGCCACCTGGGGCTGAAGCCAAAGCCTGAGCAATGTAGCTTCGTGGGAGCTCCCATGGCATGAGGCCCCAGGCAACTGCCCTGCTTGCTACCCCCTAACACCGGCCACAGCTTTTATATGCAGAAAATCAGTTACTGTGGCACAGGCGGGCCGTGGAGTTTTTATAGCATGTTGGGGGGGGGCCTCCGAAAGAAAGAGGTGGAGAACCTCAGGTGGAGAACATGTGTCTTTTTCAGCATGCCCAGAAGGTCATCAAATTTGGACTATTTCCAATCAGAGGTGGAGAGCAAGTTCCAGAGTCCTGGAGCCCTCAACAGAGAATGCCCTGCCAGCAGCTCCCCTTTTGTAACACCTGAGATCCATCTCAAGCGCCCCTGCTAGGGTGACCAGATCGCAACACTAAAATATTGGGACACACTGGGGTTCCGTGAGCCCTGCCCACAGTCCACCCCCGTTCCTCCCAGGCTCCGCCCCCACTCTGCCCCAGGTCCTGGCCCCTCCCCACTCGCCCCCCACCACCGCGCCCCTCCTCATCCCCCGGCCCCCTGCTGGCTTGCTACATCCCTCCTCAGTCCCCCACCCACCACTCGCCTCCTCACCTCCCCGCCCGCTGCTCGCTCGCCTCTTCACCCCCCCGCCCGCCACTCACCCCTACAGCGCCGATTTCCCCTCTGCCAGGTGAGTGCTCGCCCACCCTCCGCCTCTTCCCACCCCTGCACCGCCCTCGCTCCGCCTCCATTCCACCCCCTTCCCCCAAGTCCCCGCCCCTGCCCTGCCTCTTCTCTGCCGCGTCCCCACTCCTCCCCATCCCTCCTGGAAAGCGCTAAGCGCCACCAAACAGCTGTTAGGCAGCGGGAAGCGCTGGAAGGGGGGGGGGGGGAAGGGGGGACGCGAGGTGGTGGGAGCTTGGCTGCAATTTTTCCCCATGGGTGCTCCAACCCTGGAACACCCACGGAGTCAGCGCCTCCCTCCCGCTCGCCTCCTTACCTGAATATCGGGACAAATGGCGTCCCGATCGTACATTGATTGGGGATGCAGGACAAAGGGTTAAATATCGGGACAGCCCTGATTTTATCAGGTCATCTGGTCACCCTAGCCCCTGTTAACAGCAGCTATGGCAGTATGGCATGGGGAAAGAGGTGGACATTTAGGGCTTTATAGGGCAGAATCAAAACTTTAAACTCCATCAACAGGCAGCCAATGCACATCAGGAGCACTAATGTCATATGATCCCAGAGAGATGACTGGCTCAGTAAGCAAGCTGCTACCTTCTGCACTTTAATGCCACTTTCTTCTGTATGGCCTAGCTATTTTGGAGTCTGAATGAAGAGTAAGACAGACAATACAGAAAAAGATCCTTAATGCTGGTGAAAAGAACTAGCAGACAGTATCAGACCCAACATATATTTTGAAAGTTTATGGCTGTTTACTAACTGAAAGCACAGCTAAAATGGGTACATAGAAATGCCACGTATAAAAGAACCTGGTTTTATGTGTTCCATCAGACACAGAATGGGCTTGGCAGAGGCATTCAAACTTACAAAGGGTATAGTGAAAAATGCATCACTCACTCCTTTTTACTTTGCCCCATAACCTGAGAACAAGGAGTCTGTTAAATTAATGGCTGGTAAATATAGAACCAATAAAAGGAAATAGCAGCATGGATAGTCAGCCTGGGTAATTCATTTCTGCAACTATTCAACTGAAATGCAGGGGCTGGATTTTTTTTTAAAGGGCCAGATATATTTTATGACAATTGGCAAAGTTTAAAATTACGCAAATTAGTTTCTTGTCTACACGGAGGATTTGGCCACACTCGCCAGCCAAGAGGATAGCTACAACAGTGCAAATCCCCTAATATAGACTGGCACAGCCATTATTTGTGTTGGTGGAGCTTAGTCTAGATTCAAGCAAGAATAATCGCCATTGGTGAAAATAGTCTGTCTTTGACTGTCTATGCCAGGGGTCGGCAACCTTTCAGAAGTGGGGTGCCGAGTCTTCATTTATTCACTCTCATTTAAGGTTTCGCGTGCCGGTAATAATTTTAACGTTTTTAGAAGGTCTCTTTCTATAAGTCTATAATATATAACTAAACTATTGTTGTATGTAAAGTAAATAAGGTTTTTAAAATGTTTAAGAAGCTTCATTTAAAATTAAATTAAAATGCAGAGCCCCCTGGACCGGTGGCCAGGACCCGGGCAGTGCCACTGAAAATCAGCTTGCGTGCCGCCTTTGGCACACGTGCCATAAGTTGCCTACCCCTGGTCTATGCTAAGGCTTTGTATTGGTGCTACTACACTGGTGACTAGCCACGACTGACTGAAACTGGGTCAAGTCTCCAATACAGACAAGGCCTAAGGCAAGCAAAATTGAATCCCATGTTCCTTGCTGTAAATCTACAAGGAGTCGGAAAGGAATCCCTCCATTCCTTACAGCAAAAACACATGGGAACTTTCTCTTCATTTGAGGCATCAAGTACTAGCCTTGGGCTAAAGCAGGATCCCAAACTAGGTTTGAGCTGGTATTACAAACTCTTAAGGTCCTAAGGATATACACAAAGAAAAGCACAATCAATCAATCTTGCTTCAAACCAACCAGGAAGTCTCAAATAGCTGAAAAGTCAGATGCCTACAAATTAACAGTTTTCTAGACAGCACTCTGGGAGCCTTAATCATGATCCCTCCAGCATAAAGACAAACATTCCCAAAGATGGCTAAGAAAAAAATAAAAAAGCCACTGGCTTGTGTGTGCACCCAAGGAAGGACCAGAAGACTCTTGCTTTAAAAAAATAGTGTTGTAAACTCCAGGCATGCACAGTCAAGACAAGAACCTCAGTTACTGGGCCATTCTACCAAGCACTGCCTTAAATTACAGATATTGGTACACTACTCTAACTGATTGGTGTAAATGGCTACAGAATTTACTAACAGCTTGTCTATACAGGGACTCTGGAATAGTTATTGTTGATTAACTCCATAAATGGACACTTACTCCAGATTAAGAGTGCTGCCCTCTGAATTAGCTTAATCTAGATTTAACATGCTCTTTACCTTATTCCAGATTAATTTTCACATGCAGACAAACCCTCAGAGCCTTCCACATTATAAAAGCATGGGATAATTAGATTCCATTTACTTGTTCTCTGCTCCCAACAAAAAAGCCACACACTCGGGTGTGTGCTTTCAAAGTTAACCATGCCTACAAGAGAAACCAGGTTGGATTTTAGCCAACAGTCCTCTAGTAAAGTAGATAATCTCTCTATGCTTAAAGTGTAGCGGGGGAGAAATGCTGTCTCCACACAGTACCTTTGCTTTGATACTGCCTTGCCCACATCAAAACCATGTCCAATTATAATTGACACAGCCGTAACCTTGGAGCTGCAACTACTGTCTGAGCAACAAGGCTTCTGACACAGATTCCAACCACGTTAGGCACGTATACAAGTTATGCTTGGTCGTAACAACGCTCAAACACTGTTACAAACACAAGGCTCTGTCCTGCAAATCAGATCCCATTGGAATCAATGGTGCTTCCAAAAATCAGAATCTGCCCAGTTGGATCCATTGGATGACTAAAGACAGCCTTCCACCTCTA